AAATCTCCAACTGATAAATCGTTATGACATTATAAATAATCTTTCATCTTCTTCGGTGGTCTGTGAGTTTCACGTAATTGGAGGGTTAAAAACCTTTTTTGTTTCTTTCTTCTTCCCATGTCATTAGTATAGAAGGAGACCATAAAAAAGTACAGCCAGAAGGGGTTTAACTGTTACTGAGTCAACATTTGACAGTCACACTCTATTCTGTCATTTCATGCATGTGCTTTTTATGAGTTTTATAGCTTTGTGAGCTTTATTTCAGGGATGTCCATTACGATAGCTGATCCACAGCCCATCTCTCTCTCTGTATATGTGTTTGGTAGCGAGCAAATCTTATCACTTACACAAATCCCAATTTCAAGAGGTAATAGAGGAACAGCTACTCATGCACTTTAGGCTTAGGTAGCTAAGGAAATATCTACCTCCTCTAAAGTGCAGTTTGTGTGTTTTTTTGTCTTGATTGCTTTATGAAATATCAACAAAAAGTATGCATTTGAGCCTTTACAAGCAGTGGATTTTTAGTTATTTTCTGTATAAACTGAAGTAATGGAATAGGAGAAATTTTCAATTTAAATAAGTGCTAGACTTATATTATGGAGCTGTAAACCATCACGCCTGAGCACCAAATGGAAAAGAAAAAAGATCAAATACATTGTTGTAGATGATGGACAAGAGAAAAGAAAAAAATCTCAACAATTTTTAGAGTTGTTACCAACATTCTCCTTTTTAATGCATATTTGTCCACTACTATGGTCGTGGATAATAGAGGATCATAACCATCGCAGAGTATTTAATACTCATATTGAACTATTTCTGTAAATCTTTTGTGTTAGGAAGAATCGTTATCTTTTCAATTTCCTCCATTGACCTTTTTCCCTAATATTAAAAGCATATCTTCCTTAATTTTTAAAAAAAATTATATATATATGATGAGACCCTATCATATATTTAAAGCCCATTTTAACAAGTTAGGATTCTGGGACTCAGGGAAGTTAATTGACTTGTCTAAAGTAATATGGCTAATATATATGGCAGAGTTGGTTAAGACATGATGCTCCTGATCCCCAAACCCATTATTTTCTAACTTCAAATATGTCCTCCTCCCATTAACCCCTGTAGCATTTTGCCATCCAGAATGTTGTTGGCTTAGAAAGTACAGATCTTTCCTGACCATTCCTAATCAACTCATTGCCCACATTTCTTTAGATATTTCTTGGCTCTGCTTGTTGATTCTCACCATAGCCTGGTGTCATGTGCAAGCAATATATGTGCTGTTTTCCATTATGCAAGTCATTGGATAAGCCACAGAGCCCAAGACCAGCTGCCAAATTCCCTAAGTGAATATTAACACATCGATAATAGTTCTTTGAATGTTGAGTTTTAGCGTTATTCATTTGACCCCTACAAACTATATGGTCTAAAACATTTTTTTCTTGTGTAGATACAATTCACTTGGATCTTTGTTCAATTCAACATTGGATCAGAGATTTCTCAAGTAAAAAATAGACTTTATTTAATGTTTCCCCTTGATCTTAGTAAATCTACAGAGTTGTATAAGATTTGATTAGCCAAATAGAAATCATCTTTCCAAAGGAAATCTAGTTGTTACTCAATTGCTAGTTTTTATTCAAGAGAGAAAGCATACAGATCATCTTGTTTGGTCTTTATAAATCCTCAAGACTATTTCATTTTGACTACTTTGTAGTAATTAATCTGTTTGCACCTTCTACTCTGAGGTTACTCAGAGCAGTTTGGAATTTTGGCGAGTATTTCTTTAAAAATGTGTTTATTTTTCTTTGATTTTTGTTTTATTTCTAATAGAAAAAAGGTAGAAGAGAGAAGACCAATGAATCTTGTCAGTTTCAGATCTGCATTTGGACAGCATGGAGAGGGCAGTAAAGTATAAGTGCTGTACTTTGGATTTGGGTTCAAAAACACGGATCGTAAAGTGGGGGCATGGGGTGCACTTTTTCTGTACAAATTCTTGACTAATGTGGTTTTTACTGGAGCCAGTTAGAACTAAGAGTATAAGTTTGGTAAAAATTGTCACCTGTTCCCATCAACATTTTTTTCTATTTCCCCAAACTCAATTTCTTCGGTGTTTCCTATTTTCAATATCTTCCCCATTGCCTCCTTCCTACCTGATATCTACTGTCCTCATTTTGTTCCAGCTGACTCTATTTAGAAAGGATTAATTTAATTATAAGAACTTTGACAATCAAAATATTACCTTTTCCAGTAAGTTTTGTACACTTGAAAACAGGCTTTTGGAAAGGGAAATATTTAAACCAAGGAACAGAATCTCAAATGGTTGAATTTTAGACATGATATTACATAGGTGGACTCTTTTGGGAAGGAGATGGCCAGGGGTGGGTGGGATTAGAAGGAGCAGAATGAGAGGAATCTTCTCAATGTACCAGCATTTGTGCTTTATAACATTTCACTGATTCTTTCTCCTCCTATATACCTGAATAGATTGAATTTAAACTTTTGAAAAACTATTCTTAAATCAGCTAACTCATTCTTTTGGTAGTTCAGGATATTATCTACACTCTATCCACATATAGATTTATATCTACCTCTATACATAAAAACTAAGTATAAACTTTTACAGGATCTTTTCATATGGAATTATATGGTAATTATTTACCATATAACCACTATATTTTATATACCATATATTTACCATATAACCACTAGGTCTTATTATATCCTCCTTACCTCAGTTACTTTATGTCTTCAGAACTTATTGTCAGTGAAGGCTTCTAAATTATGGCAATATTACCATTTTGATATACATGCTATTTTAAAGTGTTTTAATTAAAGGCACACCACATATTCTCAAATTCCTCCAATCACCTTGCATTTTCCCTGTTTACATGTCTGAGAATTAGCTTACGTGATTATGCAAAGGGTCACAAAAAAGGTGCAGCTTACCATGTTGACTTCCACTATCTCCCACTGACGTCCTCTTGAGAAGTATCGTAAATTCCACTTTTGGGCAACTAATTGAGTCATTTTATTATACTGTGTGCTTTGGAGGCAGATATTTAGAGGTTACTTATTGTAAAAATGGATTGTGACTTTCCTGCTCATCATTTGCTAGTTTTAGCCTCTTGGTAAAATGGCACAAGATCCATACAGCTGAATTCAGAACCTTAGAAGTCACTTAGGATTTCACTTTTTCTACTCTGATTGTCTTCATTTTGCTTTTTCTTCTTGAAAGATTTTACTTCAGAATGGAAAACTCTCTAGAAAATATGTAGCATTATTGCCTTATACCCTGTTAAATCAAACCTGGGAGGTGATCCATTCCCGGTACATGCCCCAAAGATAGTACAGTAAAGTCTTCATTGACCTGGGGACTATCAGATCATGTTGATGGAATGTGGTTTTTTAATGTAACTGTCTTCTATTTTAATAGCTACATTTACTCTAAAGAGAGTCTGTTAAGCTGGTGTCTTTGGTGCTCCTGAGCTCAGTTGAATATATATAGTAGACTGTCTCAGCAAAAGAAATCCAGAACATATAAAGCAGCTGAAAATGCCAATTTCACACATAAAACAAATTGGGTCAGGTTCTACATTTTTAAGTATATAGTTTATCAACTTTAGTACTATATAATCCTATAGAAGAAAAGTTGATGTAACTATTGGGTTTCCAGTTTTACTACTGTATTTTACAGTAGGAATTGTACAGATTGACAATTTAAAAAAATTTTTTTCTATTAAATCATGTGCAGAATTTGATGAATAGATAACAAAAGTTCCAAGGCCGCTAAATTAAGAGAAGTTTTTATCTAGTATGTACAGTTGTAATACTTTTGGGGATTTTGCAGAGATAAAGCATGTACTGTATTAAGAATTTCAGTACCTATTGGCTCTTGATGGGAACATTACTTGGGCCCTTTACCTGTAATACAGTTATCTTAAGTAGTTGATTATTTTCTGTGAACATTTTATTGTGTCAGTAGCTGTTCTGCGGTGTATGTGGTTCACTTGTCCAATTCATGGCCATGTTCCTCAGAAAATGAGGTGAATAATTATAAAGAAACATGAGCAAATTTTATGAAATCCAATAGATGCTTTTCTTAAAACTGTTTCGGAACCACATCATCTTCAGAGTAGTGAAGGAGAGTGCTAGAGAAAGTTGTAAACCTTTCATTGTATGCATTTACTGTTCTTAAAATCGCCCAGTTACTTAATTTGGAAGTAGTTTAATATCTCATATAGTTTAGATTAAGCATTATATTTTCCTTGAAAATAATTTAGTTTGTAATGCCATGTTCTCCATGAATTCAAATCAGTGTACTGCATGCTTTTAAACTACTTGATGTCTTTGCAGATCTAATTTTGGTATATTTGTATCTCAAATAATTCGCCAACTCAATATTTTGGCTTAGCAATCCAAATCAAATTGTGGTCCAAGTAGCAGGCACTTATATTGAACGTACAGAGACTTGACAAGCAATTAGCAATGAATATTTAAATGTCTTCATTACCCTTGCATGAGGAATGCAGATGGCATTTAGGAGGATGGCAACCAGAGGGCACTACTGTGAATTATATTTCTATCATTTGGTCACCTGACTATTGGAAGACTTTCTCTGGGCCCCATGCCACTTCTATACTTCTACTGTCTGGCTAAAAATAAAGCAGGCATTCCAAATGTAAAACAGGTTGCTTCCATGAAATTTCTGTGCACATTTTGTGATTTGGGAAGGTTATCTCTGGGGAACCCAGCATATATCCTTTAGGCATACCAAACCCAAAAGCCAGGACTGTGGAGGGAATTCTAAGAATCAGAGTTCCTTCAAAAATCCTGCTGATCATTTGCTTCACTTACCTCAGCATAATGTGCTGAAAGTGCAAAGGTGTGTACATCCACGTCCCATCCCTTCCAGGAACTAGTGTGTTATAGATGGCCCAAGAAAAAATGTCTTTGAATAATTATAATTTTGAGATTGAGCTCTCATTATAAATTTATTTTTTTTTAAGGAAAAAACAACACTGGAGAGTCTGACTCAGCAACTGGCAGTTAAACAGAATGAAGAAGGAAAATTTAGCCATGCCATGATGGATTTCAATATGAGTGGAGATTCTGATGGTTTGTGAAAATTGTTCATATATATTTCAATAGCGTGCCAAAGTGTATATTTAGTGAAAATTAAAACTACTGAAAAATATACAAGACTGCCACCTCGTACCTGATCGTGACAATAGGAGCTCACACGTACTGAACAGTTCCCATGTGCCAAGCACTCTGCTGAGTGCTTTGCAGAAATCGTCTCATTAATCCCCAGCACAACTGTGAGAGAAGTACTATTACAGATAAAGAGATTTTGAATCCTTTTTTCCAAGGTTACAGGGCCGTAAGTGCCAGAGACAGGTCTTGGATTCAAGATGGCATGATTATAAAGCAGATGCTTTCAATCACCGTCTATTCTTTCTCTTACTTCCCTATTTCTTATACCTGAAACAAACTTTTCAGAAATTTGTTCATATAGGCTCATTTCTAACTTTTCATTTGTCAAACCCTGACCAGGATACATTGCACAGAGCACATTTTCAGGATTGTTTGTCACATTTTGAAACCCTTCCCTCTTATACTGTCTACCGTACAGTCTGGTGCCCAGCCTACCCTCTATAACTCAACTAGAACCCCAGCTGCACAGCCTCTTGCTTTCCTGACATGCCTGGAGACTTCTGTTGTCTGTATCATTTTCACCATTCTGAACATCCACAGTGATAGCTAATTAAACTGATGCTCTTAATAGCACAACAAAGAGGGAAAAAGAAGAAAGTGCTGTTCCTCTTACACTGAGCCCCAACTGGGAACCCCTCTCCAAAGTCAGGTGACATAAATGCATTTTAAGAGCGTGGTCCTCCAATGTGTTACCATTGCAGAGGAAGTTCTCTGCCTGTAGAAAAGACTGCTCCAGGGCAAACCAGTGAGAGGCATATTTTAGGACAGAAGGGGTTCCCTTGAGTCCCCCAAAATACACAGTTGTCTACTCTGTGCCCTGGGCCATATATTCTACATTAGCCAGCCGGCTAGCCAAACTTGAGCATTTAACTAGATAGTTTTGTCAAAACTGAATTTAATTCAATTGGCTATCCAAGAAAAGTCTGTGTTTTTCTGGCCTATTGTGTCCAACATTTCCTTCTATTTTCTACTTTGCTCAGCTAAGAATAAACCTGGCCTTAGTAAATACAGAGAGCTTGTTTAGCTCTGATGAAGTCACATATTGTTCATTTTATTGCCTATGTTGCTTTAAGGTGTAAGAACAAGAAAAGGCAGATGTGCAGATGATCATTTGCTAGTTACAAACCCATTTTAGAAAGATGTTGCCACATATTAGCACTCATTTTTGTCAATAAAAAGACAATTACTGGTAATGACACATTTCATAAATTTTAAGTTGTATTCACATGATAAAATATACACATAGTAATCAGCATTAAAACATCAAAATTTTGTTGCTGTTATTTGTTGAATTCAGTCATGCTTGTATGCAAAATATTTCCCAGTCTTCATCAGACCAAAGAGCATATTATGAATGAGAAATAATGAGAAACTCTACCAACATATATGCAATGTTTTTTGTTTCCTGCTGTGGAGGTCTTCAAGTTTGGGTGAATTTGATTGATTCCTATTCCTTCAAATTAAGAAAAGAAAGGAAGAGGAGTATGAAGGCAGAAAAAAAAAAACAGTGTTTTTATTGACAATACAAACTCTAGAAATCTCCAAATTATTTAAAAATTTTATTGGCTACTAAATACATATCTTCCACCTTTTGTAATGATACCTCTGGAAAACTTAGTGTCAGAGTTTTATGTTTTCTTCTGCTTCTCCTTATTTTCTTTGTCCAAACTCAAGTATCTGTGGAAGCTTTTTAATCTGCTGAAGCTATTCTGTAAAGTCACAGAAAGCCTAGAGAAGTGACTGCAGCTCATAAATGTTCCACTGTGGCTCTTGGTTGTGTTTTACTGTCATGAGTCTTGGTGATTGGAATGTAACTTGCAGTGGGTCTCTTTGGATAACGTAGATGTTAGGGGGAAAATTCAGGGGAATGAATGTATTATTTTTTTCACCATAAATATGTGGCTGTAGACTTCTTAACAAACCATAGTAATTTAACTATTCTTTTGTTCTTTTCCCTATCGTTTTTAAATATCTTTTGGGGAGCAGACTCTCATTGCTGCATCAGCATATTTCATGATTTGTTAGCACATAATTGCAAAGAAAAGCCAAACACATTACAGGAGAATATCTATATTGTATTTTAACTTCAAAATTTTATCTAGCAGCATTTTTATTTATATAGCCTCAGAGAGAGTAAAAGGGCATGAATAGTCTATGTTCTGACAGTCTTTAGGTAGTAGAGACACATCCTTAACTGTAATCATCCGTACTGACGAATATACTAGTGTTTCACAATTTTGTGAGCCTCTTTACCTATTTAATATTTCTACAGTACCAGCATCCCTATTGATCTAATCCAACTATTCTTTTTCCAATTTGCATCAAAGATAACGTATTCAAGTTTCTTGTGTGCTCTTGAAAGTAAATGGTGAAACAGTCCATAGTCCATTGAAAGAAAGGAAAAATATGTTAGAAATGGATTAAAAACAAAAATACATTTGCCACCACAAAGCTTATCACAGAAACTTCATAAACAAGCATCTGTCTCAAGAACTGGAAGTACCATTATCAGATGTACTTTTTATTTTCAGATATTTTAGTAGACTAAAAAACAGTAATGCAAGGAGGAGAATTGCCAAAACTTTTAACACTAACATGAAGCAATGTTCCCTGTTTTTAGGAAGTGCTGGAGTCTCAGAATCAAGAATTTATAGAGAATCCAGGGGACGTGGTAGCAATGAGCCCCACATAAAGCGTCCAATGAATGCCTTCATGGTGTGGGCTAAAGATGAACGAAGGAAAATCCTTCAAGCCTTCCCTGACATGCACAACTCCAACATCAGCAAGATATTGGGTAAGAAAAATATTAAGGGTTAAGTGATGTATGGAATAAATGTACAGTTCTGTTTTGCACAATTGTTGAAAGAAACTGAGTTTTGAGGCCAGGCGGCTCATGTTATCTGCTTAGCATAACATGATATGTACCATCATTGAGCCTTGTCTTCTGATGATGAAGCATTCCATGTTTGTCAAGAAATGTGCCCAATTTCTATAGCGAATTTAGTTGTGTGTCTCTATATTAATTGCTTTAATATTTTCTTTAAAAATCTAGAAATATTTGTACTGAGACTAGGAAAAAAGTTTCTTTCATATCAGCCACTTACTATTGATGTTAACCATATTTATTCTCGTCTGTTGTAAACTGTAGAAGTCATCCGCTTGTGGAGGTAAGGGTGGAGACGCAGGTGAAGTGTGTTCTAGTACTGTAATTGAAAATCAGTTTAGATTGTCAGGACACAAAAAGATGTAGAGTGTGTGTTTTTTAATTTATACTTTTAGTAACCTTAGGCATATTTTCAGTATCATTTAAAAAGAGACTTTTTCCTGCCATGGGAGCTTTCAGCTTAACAGATAAAGTGCATATTTATCCTACATATGTAGACACTGAAGCATACAGAAAAGATGAGTGAGAGGAAAGCTGCTGATTATGGAAAGATCTATTATAGACAAATTTAAGTCCCAGAAAAAAGGAAGGGAAGATTCCATTTCTTTTATGCTATTCTCTTGACATCATCATCATCATCATCATCATCGTTATTGTTATCATCATTATCATCTTCATCTTCAGGTAGCATGGTGGCCAGGTACTGGACAACTTAAGCAGATTTTGATTATTTATTCTCTGACTTCTAAGAACTAAATGATAAAAATAGAATAGGAAGGGGCCGGCCTGGTGGCGTAGTGGTGAGGGTAACGCCCTCCGCTTCGGCAGCCTGGGGTTCGCGGGTTCAGAACCCCGGGCAGGACCTATGCACCACTATGCTGTGGTGGCATCCTGTATATGAAATAGAGGATGATTGGCACAGATGTTAGCTCAGGGTGACTCTTCCTCACCGAAAAAAAAAAAATAGGAACACCTAACTCTATCAGCAAATTTTCACCTTAACAAATAAGGAACAAAATTTACCTAAGTTATTAAAGCTTTATTAAAATCCGTAATGCACTTGGAGTAACATGTAGTTAATGTAGATAGTATCCCTTTTGATTCTTTACATTGAGGAACCAATCATCTAAAAGTTGTTAGTAAACATATACACGTGTTTTTATGATCCCGTATTCTCAACAGTGGTAAGAGATGCCACCCAGTCCGCAACATGCGTTTATAGTGAGACCAAAACAAACAAACAAAAACCATTAACCACTTAACCTTGTGTCTCAATTTTCATCTAAAATGATTTTGAGATCTTTAGAGGAATGTTATCTCAAAAGATATAAGCATATCAAGCTTTAGGTGTACATAGAAAATGTCAGTATTTCTGTATAAAAATATATATCCATGCAAATCAAAAAATGGGACTGATCAAAAAGAAATGCATATGTTTTGCATATCTACCATCTCTGATCCATTTTTCATTTTTTGTGACTATATTCCGCCTTCCATATGTAATTTCCCATTCTTTAAAAAACACTATACGTTTTTTATACACTATACGTTTCATTTGGAAAAACTCTAGAAAAAAATAAAATACTTTATGTAGCATATTTCATATTTTAATATGTCAGTTATTCCCAAATTAGAAATCCCAAAATGTAAAAATAAAAAACAAACTAAATACTAAGATGGTTTGAATTGTCTTTATATCATTCAATTCCTGTGTTTGAATACTAAAAAAGTGATGATCACTGATTAAAACTTTATCCTAAGTATAAGAGGAATATCAGTTTTGATGATATGAAGTATCTTAGGAAATGTAGCAAAGGCCTTTGTAGGAAAGAGATAACTGGCTAAGAGAATTTCTTTCTGTTTGAAGGAGAGAATATTAGAATGACCATATGATTATATCATAATAGGCTACATGAAAGAGAGTGCTCATTTCAGACTTTTCAATGAAATTATATTAATTAAAGATATAGCAGGAAAATAAGCCCACTGAGGTGTTTGGGACCTCGGTATTTAGTCATAGCTTCAAATAAATGAGTGATCTTCAAATATCCACAAGATCGTTCTAAATGGGCCATTTCATATAAAAGTACAAAGAAAACTTGATGTTTTCCTCTTTGCTGATTGTTTTGGATAACAGCCTTCGACAGCATGCCGCTAATTCATTCTGCTTAAAACAGGCGCTTGAACTAGGTTGACATTTTATGTAGTCTCTGGGGATCCTAGTTGACATTTTAAAGGGCTTCTAAGCATTTTATAATACCCTAAAATCTGGTTTTAATAAGCCATTCTGCTGAAATTGTTAACATAAGGAATCACCTTTTACTGTTTGGCGCTAGATCAGGGGGTGGGGGACATCTTTTTCTGATTAGATATACAGTAGTTGGAGTAAAATGTGCAAATTCATTACAGACCCCATGGAGATGACAATGTTGCTCAGCTCAAACTCTTCATTTTTATTCTATGGCCAGATTTAGAAAGGAAAAGAGCACTTTTAAGACCGATTTTTTTTATTTTGAACATCAAGGTTTTTTTTCCAGGGTGTTAACTGCTTTTATTTTATTTTATTATTTTTTTATTGAGGTCACGTTGGTTTATAACATTATATAAATTTCAGATGTACATCATTATATTTTGATTTCTGTATAGACTACATCATGTTCACCACCAGAAGTCTAGTAACATCAAATATTTTGGGGTGAATCTTCCTCTTTGTCATCAGGAGGAATACCCAAATGTACTTCTTCATTTTTCATTATAAAAGGCCCGTCTTTTGAATACAACAGGCAACTTACTCATGTACATGGTCCAGGGTAAGCAACCAGCCACACCGAAATCAAGTAGATGTTTTCACCTCTTATGGAGATATCTAAAATGCTTTCCTACCATTCTCATCTAGTCTCTTTCAGGGGTTTACATCACAGCTACATATAGTGGTTGTTGTACCTGCAAAGCCATTGAAACCAAAAGCAAACTTGTCATTTGCTTAACCCCATTCAAAAGTTATTATTAAAAAATGAAAACTTCATGTGTCGCCAAACTGAAACACTCTTCCGCACTGTCATAAAATGGAGTAGTTAGCCATTTTGCCTCAGTTAGTGCTTAGACTATCTTAATTCTTAATTTTGAAAAGACTTGTAACTATGATATGGTCATATTTTAAAATGTAGCTAAGGATTCGGTGATACTTCCAGAGAAATTATATTATCAAGTGTCAAAATATTTTGTGATTCCAGTTCATGCCAGATTTAGAAGCCAACTTTCCTAAGAATTTACACATATTTTAATATCCTTTTTTCCTCTGCATTTTAGCCAAACCAACTTTCTTTAAGTTCTTCTAATCCCCCTTCACACTGCCAGGCCTTAACCATTCTGTTCTTCCTCCATAGAATGCTCTTCTCTTTCCTATCCCTATAGGAGTCGATTCTGCAGCAAAGCCTTCCTGACCTACACAGAATTGATCCCACCTCCTTATGTGTTCTCATAGCTTCCTGTGCTTTCCACGGTTATAATTAAAATAATAAATTTTATAATTAGCTGTTGAACGTATTCCTTCTCTGCTGGAATATAGGCTCCGAGAAGATAGGAACCATAACAATTCAGCTCTGCATATCCAGGAATTAATACAGCATCATGCACATAGTAGGAAATCTAAAAACAGTTCTCACATTCCAAGACAGGTTACTATGAGGCATAAACATTCTCTTTCCTTAGAGAAACATATTCTTTTTGAGCTTATAGAATATTTAGACTTAGGGAAGAATCTTTGGCAATTCCTACTCTAATTGAGAATGCTAGTTTCTTTGTTCTATTTGGTGATAAAGATTGCTAGCGAATTTTAAGTCAACCATCTTTGATCCATTTTTTAATGTATTCCTATAATTATTCAGTAAATTATTTCTGATAAGCTCACTTTTCCACTCCCTGATCTGAGGTTCAAAATTCTGGTTTACATACTTGTAAGAAACTCCATGAAAAGCATTGATCTAGTTCAATAGTGTTATAGCTTTACCTATGTTTATATTTGCTCTGAGAACAACATAATGATTTTCGAGTACCAGTACAGAATAATGTTGGGCAATAAGGAGTTTGAGACAGTACCTGCAAATGATATGGCCTGACCAACTGACTTAATGTTCGACGCTGCTGTTTAAACACAGTTTGAGAAAGGAATAAAAAAAAATCTCTATTATTTGAACTATAATCTATGTTTCTGTTATAAATAGAATAAAGTCATATTGGCTGTCTAGATCGGAAAAAATATGTTTATAAATCTTTGTAACACCTGCATGGATATACCCACCCAGGCAATATCTGTTCCAATGGGTAACAATTATAACGGAAGAGATATTGTCCCTTTTGCTGCATTCCTTTAATAAATATAACACCCCATCTTGAGCTTTTGTAGGGAAGAACTGTTCATCAGCGAGCTGTTTGCATTTGAGATGTGCAGTTATGGTTGAGTAATGAACCCATTCAAAAGCTCTTAAGATCTTGCTTAGATGACTTTGGAAGGCAGGTTAAGGCAGCAGTGCAGGACGTGCTTGGTAGGAATCTCCTAATTCCGGTTATTTTGGACCTTGTGCATTTGCATTTGGGTAGAGCTGAGCTGCTTCCTTGCAGATAAACACATTTCATCTGCAAATAGATGGATTTTTCTGACATGTTAATAAAAAATAGACATTGTTACTACTGCTTCTGTTACTGCTACCCATAGCCATACTGAGACAATCAAAACTTGAAATCACGTCTATATTGAGAATTAGCATAAACTATTTTAACTACGCTTCAAACAGTTGTTTTTCGCAATCCTAGTTGAATCCAAACCAAAATTAAAAGTGAAAAGAAGGGGGAAACCAATTTGGGTTAACATTGTTAATGCATACTATATCACAGGAAGTGACATCCTTATATATTATTGCAAGTGACTTATTAAGAGAAGAATCTTCCTCAGTACATACTTAGTATCGTAATTCTGACCTCTGCTACATCATATGAAGTAGACGGGTACAGGTATGTAAAGACATACATTGTAGCACACTTTCAATTCCATCAAACCTGAGTTTGAGTCACAGATCTGCAATTTAATAGTTGTGTGACCTTGGGTAAGTTACTTCATCTATTTGAATTTCAATTTTCTCATCTCTGGAAATTGGTATAAATGCTGTCTATCTTACAGGATTGTGGTGAAAGGTAAAAATGAGACAACTCTTGTAAAGTTTTTAGCATAGTATCTAGCACACAGTAGTTACCCAGTGCGTGTTCATTAATATAACTTTTTATAATTAAAATTTTAATGAAGTGAATTTTTAACTGTAATCATTCATGTAAGCATACTTAAACATTTGGGGGAAAATGAGAATTATATGTAATATATGTTAGAAACCTTTGTAGTCAGTAGTGTACCCCCACATAAAAATACTCAATAGCTAGATAATTAGCCTCAGATTCAAACTATGTAATGAGTTTTTGCATAATTTTTTAGTTCACAGTTGAATTACATTATGGTCTAATGTAGAAATTAAAGCTATATCCATTAAATTACCTATGAGCTTTTAAGTACATAATATACAAGTTTGGCTAAATTGTTAATTCAAGGCAAAATACATATATATTTTGTATTTGTATCTTTGGGTACACAGTTTCTTTGAGGACATAGCCACCAACACATCTGTTCTTGTGGAATCTCACCTCAAGTCACAGCTCACTAATCAAAAACATTTTTATGTATTTATGGGTTTTGGCCAACATTTTTGCTTTTGATTTACTTGTTCTCAGTTATATCTTTTTAGGATCCTTCACAGCTGTGCAAATTGGAATCCTAACCTTCTTTGCCTCATAGGGTCTCGCTGGAAAGCTATGACAAACCTAGAGAAACAGCCATACTATGAGGAGCAAGCCCGTCTCAGCAAGCAGCACCTGGAGAAGTACCCTGACTACAAATACAAGCCCAGGCCGAAGCGCACCTGCCTCGTGGATGGCAAGAAGCTGCGCATTGGTGAATACAAGGCGATCATGCGGAACAGGCGGCAGGAAATGCGGCAATACTTCAACGTCGGGTATGGACCGTGCCGTCATTTTTTCAGAGGGAACACTTCCTGTTATACTTAACAGGATGTGAAACATATTTGTTCAGTTGCAAAGCAGCATTTTAAAAGAGAACCTGAACGTGTATTTTCAGAGACTAAACTGTCTCCCACATGATCCTGAAAAGGAATACAGCTGTGTGAATTCACTCCCAGCTTCCAGAACAATGGCTCTAACTTGAAAATAAAGTATCTGAAAGTAAATAATTTTGAAGTTTGCTGTTAAATACTTAGAAGTATTACTGGTTCTTTTCCTTGTTGGTTTTCATTACTTCCAAGGCTTCGCAGAGATAAATTCCACAACAACCAACAACTTAGTTGAGATACTACAACATAAAAATGATTTCAAAAGAAAGAAGCACTTGTTTCTGAATATAGAGGGCTTTCTGGGCTACCGGGGCACATGCGTGGCCTTTGCAGGTCACACCGAGTAGGGATTCTATTTAGGGCACAATGAGGTGTGAAGGAGAAAATTCCCTTCTGAATTAAGAAGGCAGCTCTCAGGATGTTTCACCCTGCTTCCTGTGGCAAGGCTGTTGACAGTGTCATAATATGCTGCCTGCAGCCACATCACTTCTGTAGAATTTTCTCAAAAAACACAGAAATAAAGTTGCTCATATTTGGAGATAGAAGTTAGTAAGATCCTGAGAGCTTCTTAGAATAATAAATACTATTCTGAAAATGGCCAAGAGGGTACCTTAGAATAAACCTTTTCAAATCTGCGCTATCCCCTCCGTTCCCCTGAAGGAGTCTGCCTGCTCTGTCCAAGGGTCTGCGGTTTATATCCCAGTGCATGACTCTTCTCAAAGCTGAGCATGAAACCCAGCACTTCTTGGAGAAATAGTAAACATATGAACGAATGAAAGAAGGAGTGAATGAACGTCATCTATTAATCCCTTCCTACTCGGACCAGCTACATAATTTGTGGAGCCCAGTGCAAAGTGAAAATGCGGGGTCCCTGTTAAAAAAGTTATTAAGAATTTCAAGACTGTGACAACAGGACCTTAAACCAAGCATAGGGTATTCTAAGCTCCAGGGCCTGTGCAGCTGCAGAGGCTGTCCACCCATGAGGCTGGCCCTGCTTCCTACCCCCACCTAATACGATTTCAGGGGCTAAGAGGATGATGTGATATTATTCAGTTCTGGCAGGTTCTGAGCAGTGAAGTTTTATTTTGAGAGCTCTAATCCTTTAGAGTTTTTCCATTCAAATTGAGTTATCTTTAGTTTTAATTTTTTTTTAAAACTGTTTCTGGGGACCAGCCCCATGGCATAGTGGTTAAGTTCGGTGCACTTTGCTTTGGTGGCCTAGGTTCACGGGTTCAGGGGTTCAGATCCCAGGTATGGACCTATACCACTCAGCAGCCATGCTGTGGTGGCGACCTACATACAAATTAGAGGAAGACTGGCACAGATGTTAGCTCAGGGCTGATCTTCCTCAAGCAAGAAAAGAGGAAGATTGGCAACAGATGTTAGCGCAGGGGTGAATCTTCTTCAGCAAAAAAAATAAAAATTAATTTAAAAATTAATTAATTTAAAAAAACTATTTCTGTATGTTACAGTGAGGAAAAATGAACTTGGGGTCAAGGACTTGGGTTCTTCTGCTTAATCTTTCTGTGCCTCAGTTTGTTTCATAAAAGAGCACAGTAACAAAAAAATTATTTTCAGAGTCAAATGAGTAACACATGTGAATGTAATCTATAAAGCACTATACAGAAGTAAGCTATTGGAATCAAAGTAGGAAACAATTTTTAAAATATTGGACAATAGGGTGAAAAATCACTAGCTTCGAGTTGGATCAGCTCAGCGAATTAATTATGTAGTAAGGCCTGCATCTGACTGTTCACTCACCCACAGTCTCTTTTTGGGAATTTCTCTCTGACAGGCAACAAGCACAGATCCCCATCGCCACTGCTGGTGTCGTGTACCCTGGAGCCATTGCCATGGCTGGAATGCCCTCCCCTCACCTGCCCTCGGAGCACTCAAGCGTGTCCAGCAGCCCTGAGCCTGGGATGCCTGTTATCCAGAGCACTTATGGTGTGAAAGGCGAGGAGCCACATATCAAAGAAGAGATACAGGCTGAGGACATCAACGGAGAAATTTATGATGAGTACGATGAGGAAGAGGATGATCCAGATGTAGATTATGGGAGTGACAGTGAAAACCATATTGCAGGACAAGCCAACTGATAAGGGTCAAAAGATTGTTGTGACCTTAGGACTTAAAGAAGCCCTAGCTGGTTCATCCTTACCAGTGGCCAAGCACATTAACTTTCTCATACACTGACTGTTACCTTAACTGTTAGTCTTAACTAGTTGGGACATCAGCTGACTAATAGACCTCAGCCTCAAAAGGCTTGGAAAGAAAAAAAAAATACAACAAGCAAACAACAATATCAACAACAAGAGATTGAAATAAGCTATGGGTAACATAATGCCAGTAATTCAGCTGCTACATCCAAGCACTGAAGTCTTACCCGTCAACTTTTTTTTTTTTTAATAAACTTTATGGCTGTTTGTTCTACAATGTTCTAGAAATTCTCACTCAGGTACACAGTGCCAACAAGTGGCTTGTGAATGTGTTTTGTTGTTTTGTGCTACAATTTTTAAAAAGAAATAAGTTTTGTTTTGTTTTTTGGGGTTTCTGGGTTTTTTCCTTTTCTTTTTCTTTCCTTTCTTTTTTTTTTTGTAATGCACCTGACAGAAAAAAGAAAGATGAATTTCTCTTTACTTCTCTCCACCTTCTCCATCTCTATACTTTAAAGATGGAAGTCTGTGCATGGGGGGAAAGAGGGAAAAAGAGCCTGTTTTTAACTTCCTTGCTATCCACCACAAAATAAGCAATTATTTTCTTCAGAGGACTTTCTTTATCTATTGCACACCACACTACATCTTTGAGCAAGTGCCAAATTTGTTGTTGACCCAGTTCATTTTTTTCCCTTTCCTTTTTCCTGTTCCTTCTTAAGTTAGGACAGTGTTATATCTTAGACAATCCCTTGAAAAACCTGAAATACCAGCAGCTGGTGAGATTTGACTTTTTTTTTTTTAATGGAAACTGTAGGTGCTGTTCTCAGGTGAAAAGAGAGAGAGAGAGAGAGACATAAGAAATTTAGAGAAAAAATATTTTCTGATCTCGGATTTTTGTGTGTATGTATGTGTGTGATTATGGTACTAATAGGAATAATGTTGGACCATTGTGAGTTAAACCCACATCTGGGGATGAAATCCCACATCCTCCTAAGTGACTGGTCTGGAAGCAAACTTGACCTTGACTTTGCACTTCAAATGACAACTTAACCAATATAGGGCTCAGAAATTATATTTTTAAATTTCTAATATGATTATTATTGGATGAATCAGGTGGCCCTTTGTAATAAAGGTGTGCATGTATAACATGGAAGCTACTAGCAAACTGCTCCCAGATGTCCCTTCTCCCTGGTCAGTTGGTTCCACTAACGTTTGCTACTTAATGATTTCTGTTTGTTTTCATTGAATGTATTTGGCCTTTTTCCAGAAATATAGAATTAGCTTATTTCTTCAACATTCCATCCTTTCCTGATCAGGAAATGGAACTGATGATTTTATAAGGTATTTTTCATCTCTCCATGAAATAAGGTGGAGGCCATTTGCATTTCAGAACTGTGGGCCATGTGCATCTCATGCCATAAAAAGCAGGATTTGATTAAAAGTTGTTGCAGCCCCACAAAGTGGAGCCTGGCTGAACCCAGCAATCCTTGCCATTACTCTTACTTTGCTGTAAGATGAACCCACTGAAGTCCAGTGTTTGGTTCCAGCAGAGTATGTGCATAGAGCAACAATCAGCAGTGACAGGACTGCTTGTTTCGATTTTGCCAGCCAAATGCCAAGGCACCTGTAGGGCTTATACAGATAAATGCAAAATCATTTAAAGTCAATTGCCATTATTTGTGCTGATGCATCAGACAGTGAATACTCCAACCAGTAGCTTGGATGTGCTATGATTTTCACTCCAGTCATCATTTTCCTATCCCAACCCTTAATCCCAACCCTAAAGTTCAATTTTTACATATAAATAAGAAAAAAATGTCCTTTTTATTTTTCTCTCTCTCAAAAGACTTGCTCTGGGGTTTTGCTTGGAGGAGCTGATCATATCCTGCATGTCAGAGATTTTGTTTTGTTTGTTTTTCTGTTTGTTTTTGATGACTGTATTTTCATTTGAACTGCCTCTTTTTGCTAGTGTTGTAATAATGATGATGATATAATAATAATAATAGTAATAATAATAATAATGGTCAGCTGTTCCCAGATTAGTAAGTTATGTATAATTTATTTCTCCCTTTCTATTTTATTCTGCTCTGATTTGGAAGTGCAGCCAATAAGCTGTTAGATATTTAAAACAAATTTCCATCTCCAACATATATATATATACACACATATATATGTGTATATATATATACACACACACACATTCACCCACACAATTTACTTCTCCTTCCATAAGTTTTCTCCTTTTTAAAAATTTGGCCCCAACAATGTCAAGTTCTGGTGTTTAATACAAAGGAGTGAATTAATAGGAGGGTCGTGTTCAATCTTAATTAACTTATGCTCTCATCACTCATTTTAGTTATTTAATTGCCACAGTCATCTAGAGCCAATTTTTTTGTTTTTGTTTGTTTTGTTTTGTTTTGTTTTTAAGCACTCTGGATAAGAAAAAAATAGACACTTGTTTTTATATCGTTATTATGTACAATGTGAAAACAGAATTTTAAAAATTTGTTCTCTGTCTTTGTTAACAAATTCTTTCTGACTTATGTGGGTTCACCTCTCACGTTTGCTGGATACTTATTTTACACCATGTTATAAAGAAGCTTTGTTTTCATTTCATGACGTTGGGCTACAAGAATACTTTGTTTTAGCTCCAGGTAGATGCCACAGAGAGCATTCATGGCAGATATCAGTTCTAACACACTTACCAGTGAATTGACAAAACACTTCTGTTTGGTCTTGTTTTTGTTTTTTATTTTGTTTTATTTGAAGGGGAAAACAAAATTGTTAATGGTGACCTTTAACTGCTGAAATGCTGAAGTTAATTTTATTTAGTTAGGTTTATGTCAGAGAGACTCAACTGTGCGTGGACTTAAGCAAAAAGCAAGTTCATAGCCCTGCGTTATGTTCTCTGTTCTGACATCGAATTCGCTGAGTGTCACAATTTCTTTGCCTTAGTTTTCCCCAAAAGAAAACAAAAGAAAATTATATTAACGTTGAAAGCACTTTGAAGTCATTTGATAAAAGGTGCTATGAATAGCAACTTACTGTGTTAACACATTGCCTTTTTGGCATTTGATTGGTTTATAATTTTTGTAAAGGATCCTAAAACCTTGTATTCTTTTTCTGTGCCCCATGATGACCAAAAAAGATAAGGTAGAGGAAATGAGAGTAAGATCAACTAAAATGAGCATGAAGTCTCCCTCCTCTCTCCTTTTCTACCTTCGTGTTCATATTTCTTTCTCTCTCTCTCTCTCTCTCACACACATACACACACACACACACACGCACACACACACACACACACACCCCAGTACTGAGGAATAATCTTGCCAGAATTCTGTATTTTTATGGCTGTTGTAATCAGTTCCTCTAAAAATAGTCATGTTTTAATATGAATCTAGGAGAACATCACTGGAGAAAATAGATTAAAGTTGCTCATTTATAAATTACTAGTAATTTTGCTCGTTACTACGTTGGCTAAAATACGAAACTATTCTTCAGTACATTTACACCTAAATTAGTTGTCAATTTTTACCATTTATTTGGCATCTGCAGTTAAAAGTTAACCATGTATAAAATCCCTCCCAAAGAACATAATCTTTATTGAAACCAAATCCTCTTGTAAAGAACAAATATAAAAGGGTTTTCTTTGGTAAAATTATTTCATAGATTTGATTTCTGGAGTAGACTTTTACCTTAATTTGTTTAAAGAAAATTATCTTTAGCTATTTTATGGTCCCATTTCAGATATTTCCTTAGTCCAGAAGTTGTTACTTTTCCCAGAAGAAACCTCTTATATCACATCGAAAACATCAAAAATAATTACATTTTCATTCATTCTAATTAGTAAATTATTGAATTGTAATAAACAACTGTATATTTACAAACAGGTTTATAAAATATTTGTTTATCAAGTTAATAGTAAAATAAATATTATGGGATCTGCAAGGAAAAATATGAAGCCCACTTAAAGTGGTTCAGATATTTCTTTGTCTTATAGGGCATAGGTTTTCGTTTAGACAGGCTTTTACAGTATTTAATTTTAAAGTTTCCTATAACTATCAGTTTTACAGGTTGAAGATAATGTTGTGTTGAGTTTTCTACTGATTGATTCCTGTCCTCCCCAGTGTTTCTGTCACTGGTTCACTAAAACAGTATTTATATGGCTCCACTGGCTCTAAAGCTCTTAGTCCTTCTAACGTTTTGGATTTTACAAGTAAAAATGGGAAAAAAATAGAAAAGAGACAATCAAATGCCTGGAGCTTAAAACAAAGTATGTGCAACCTACCATCTCACTTGAAATTTAATAAAATAAATAATTATGTAAATATAACATAGAGTTATAGATTTATATTTTGTTCATAACACATAGTGTAATATAAGTTGTATATTTTCATGTTTTTGGTTTTATGTTATCATTCATGCCACAATAAAAATAAAACAGGAGTTTATGTACTCTTAAAAAAAAGGATGTGGGTTGCCACCAACCTGTTTTTTTTTTGTTTTTTGTTTTTGCATTCTTTTTTCAGTATTACTGCCATGCAAGGCACCAATAAAAACAGCAAATGTGTTCTTTACCTATTATACTGTGTTTCTTTTCACAATTCTTGTTATAAAGGTGTAATCATTAGTTTTATTATGAACAGAGTAAAAGTATGAAAAATAATTTGTTTTCAATCTAATAACCCCGCTTCTTGATGTTGACTTTGAATTGAGAACTAACGGTTTAATTCTTAGAGGTAGACATTCCAAGAAGGACATCCAGACCTTGTTATAATGTGTCTCATCAGACAGGGATCCAACTTCACCATGTCAAAAGATATTCCTCTTATATGTAATTGAGTCTAATACACTTAAAAATCCTACAGCCTGAATTGAAGCACTCTTAACGTTGTTTTCCCAAGCTCGACACTGTCATTGGGGTGGGGTTTCTACACTTTAGAATTGTATTTCAGATCATTGTTTGTATAGAAAAAAATTCTGAATTTCAGATTATGAAATTACTAGTAACCATAAAATGATTTTCACCTTGCTGGTATCTAATTTGGAATCATGCATATTTCTAAATTGTTTAACACTCTGACATTACTCTCTGGATTCTTCCTTCAACTTTTTAAAGCAAATATTAAAAACAAGAAGTCTCCTTTCCTTCCAATGGCCATTTTTGCTTGTAGAGACAAGTATTTCACCATAGTATGTTTTTCTATCTTGATAGTTCTATGTGTAATAGTTTCCTGTAAGGGTTTTGGTTGGTTGGCTTTTTAACAAGTATCAAGACACTGGGTCAGATGACATCTGGTTCAAATGAATATAAAGTAAGCATATAAAGAGGACACCACTAACTGCCCATTGTATCCCTTAACAGAAGTAATTTACAAAGTCTGGTCCACAGGCCACCTG